ATAGACACCATCAACAACCATATCAATGCACAGTCAACAATCACACATCACACATCAACACAGATCCCACCAACCACTAACTACATCATCACACATCAACATAGACACTGTCAACAACCAAATCATTGCACATCAACACATACACCCTCAATGCTGACATCATCATACCTCAACAGTCACACCCTTAAAGAACACATCATCACACACCCACAGAACCATCAACAGCCACATCATCACACATCCACAGACATCTATAATGAGCACATCATCGTGCATCAACACAGACGCCATCAACAGCCACATCACTGCACAGTAACATACACACCATCAAAGCTGACACCATCACACATCAACAGACACACCCTTAATGACTATATCCATACACATCAACACAGACACTGTCAACAGAAGACAACAAGCTCAGCTGGGTATCAGGAGAGGCAAGAGACGCCTCCTCTCTGACAAGGCACTGGGGTTGATGAGACATGCAGTCAGCAAGGCTCGTCTATCGGAGAGAAGGTGACCATCCGGCTTCAGTTCTCATAGTGCAATCATTTTCTCCTTTGACTCACACCAAAGTTCATCTATGGGTAACTTAGTGTTTCTCAGTTAATCACCATACCTTCACTCCTATGTAAGAAAACCAGGTAACAGAGTTCCCTCTGCTTTGCAGCCGTGCATGGTAACAGGGAAGGACCCTTGGTAGCACAGTGGTTAAATATACAGCTGCTAACAAAAAGGCTAGTGGTTTGACACAGCTGCAGCTCCACGGGGCACAGCCCCGACACTGTGCTTCCATAAAGATGGAAGCTCAGGGAGCCAACGCGCAGGTCTGTCCTGTCATATGTGGTCACTATGGGGATGGTTTAACATCAGGAAGGGTGTGCACCAGGACTCTTTCCATTCTCCACACCTATCCAATCTGTATGCTAGCAAATCACCTGAGAAGCTAGACTCTATGAGGGAGAATGTGGCATCAGAATCAGAAGAAGACTCAATAACAGCCTGTGTTATGCAAATGACACAATCTTGCTTACTGAAAACGAGGAAGACTTGAAATGCTTGCTGTAGAAATCAAAGCCTACAGTCTTCCATACAGATTGCTTCTCAAGAAACATCATGATAGATGGAGAAAAGATTGAAACTGACAACAGTTTCTTCTTACTTTGATCCACAATCAACACTCATGGTACCAACAGTCAGGAGATCAGAAGACATACTGAATTGGGCAAGTCTGTTGTCAGGGAACTCTCCAAAGTACTGAGGAGCAATAATGTTAGTTTGAAGATTAAAGTGTGCCTGGTAAGACCATGGTCTTTGCAATCACTTCCTATGCATCTGAGAGCCGGACAATGAATAAGAATGACAGAAGAACTGATGCCTTTGAGTTGTGGTGCTGGAGTACTGAACAGACTCCCAAGAGAAGAAAGATATATTTTGGAAAAAGGGCAGCCTGAGTGCTCCTTGGAGGCAAGGACGGTGGAGCTTCGTCTCCTATATTTTAGGCATGGTCTCAGGAGGGGTTATTCCTTGGAGAGGGACATCAATGCTTGGAAAGGCGGAGGGTCAGTGAAAGAGAAGTCCTTTAATGAAATGGATTGTTACAGTGACTTCCAAAATGGGCTTTAGTGTATCGGGAAGTGTGCGAATGGCACAGGATAGGCCAGGATCCCAATCTGTTGTTCACAGGGTTGTTATGAGTCGCACCCAACTCAACGGCACTTAACAACCACCAACAATGGGAAGTAATGGCTCAATGGTCCTTAATAACAACATCATGTCAGGAAAAGAAGCAGAATGCACGTTGGGTGAGTGTCATAGCGTCTGTGACACTCACATACAGCACTCTAAGTTCTCAGAAACTAAGACAGCCCCACTTTCACAGACAAAAGCAGCAGATTTCATTTTACTTGTATCCACAATCAATCCTCATGGTAGTGGCCATGAAGAAATAAAGACGTGTTGCATGGGACCAACTTGCTGCCAAGGTTCTTTCCCTAAAGTGCTAAGATACGGACAACAATCATGTCCAAGGTCTTCAAAGCCACGCTGTTAATCGCTTCACATGCACATGAAAATTGGACACTAACCAAGGAAGGCCCGTGATTGGATGCTGTTGGACTGTGGTGCTGGTGAAGGGCACTAAGTATAAGACACAGACCATCAACAAGCTAATCTGCACTGGAGGAAGGACAGCCAGCGTGCTGCTCGGAAACAAGGATGCCAAGACCTCATCTCACGCACTTGGAGGACTACAGGAAGGGCTCTGTCCCTGCAGAAGGGGTCTGTCATCATCTCACGTACTTCGAGGACTAGAGGAGGGGCTCTGTTCCTGCAGAAGGGATCTGCCATCATCTCACATACTTCGAGAACTACAGAAGGGGCTATGTCCCTGCAGAAGGGGTCTGGGGTCTGTCATGCTTGTAAAAACAGTGTTTCTATTGTCAGCAAAAGAGAGGAAGCTCCTCCAGGAGCTGGGGGACACGGTGACGAGAGCAATGGCCTTGAGCAGAGTGGAGACTGTGAGGACAGCACAGGATCAGGCAGATTCCACAGCACTAACGACAGTAACTGTCACAGACAAGAAAGCAAGGATTGGAAAGACTGTCCCTTGCTGTCCTGTAGCGAGTAAGTGACAGGCCTGGAAGTCACATCCAGCTCCGGTCCCAGGGGAGTGCCACACACACAGCAGTCAGGGCCGCGGCCACGTGAGGGGACAGATATGAGAGTGGAACGGAATGCTGCTGTGTGCTGAAGAAAAGCTGGTCAGCCAGGCCCAGGAGAGGACGCCTGGCCGCAGGGGGTGAGGTGCACAGGGCAGGAGAACAAGGTGAAGCCAAGAAGGGGAGCATAGGATTTTACTAAACACCACACTCCTTATGGCCCACCCGTGAAGGTCCTTCCAGACCCACTGTCTGCGCCTTAGTTAAAAAAAGGAATGGAATAAAGCTGTTTGAATAAATGAATACAACTGCTTCAAGGAGACTGTTTCCTTACAGACCGTCTCATGCACATTATGACTCTCAACCTAAATTAGACCACGGACGGGGCTGCCTGATCTCCAGTCACAGCTTGGCTGGGATATCACACTACAGCTGGAATGTTGTGAGAGATGCCCCCAACCGGGCTTGGCAGCAAAGCCCACGCCGACAGAACACCTCTCCCTGCATGGCATGTGGCCCACGAACTCTGACCAAGGTGCAGCTGATGCCTGCAGCTCACGCTGGGTGAGTGGCTGGGTGGGAGACATCACGGTGAGCTGAGACGGTGACGTGACGCCCCTTCTCCCCACCAGGCCACCTGGAACAGGCTCTCCCGCCCCCCGGCAGCTGCACTAACAGGGAATCGTTAGGATGAGCCCACCTCTGTCAACAGATGGACGACGTCAGCTGCCCGCTGAGGAAGTGGGGAGTGAGAGAGCGGCAGAAACAGGAGACAGAGCAAGCCACGCGACACGCACACAGACATGGTCCCGGGCGATGCGAGGAGACAGAGCCCAAGAGAGGTGGCCATGGCTGACCAGATGGACAGAGTCCCAGCGTGAGTCAGGGGACAGACCCGCACAGGGAAAGCCTCCTCATCAAACATTTAAGGCACTCAGTGGTTGTGCGGGTCGAGCTTTAGCTGCTGGTGAATCAGCTCTGGCTCACGGTGACCCCATGAAGGAACCACTGCCCAGTCCTGCACTACCCTCCTAGTGACAGTGTGCAGACGCCCTGGCCCTGACCCTGTGTACCCACCGCTGTCCATGGCCTCAGGGCCTGCTATGCACATGGTCTGCCAAGGCTTTAACCATGACTCTTGTGTACCCACCACTGTCCACAGCCTCAGGACCTGCAGGTCTGCCAAACCACTAGCTGTGACCCCTATGTATCCACTGCTGTCCATGGCCTCAGGGCCCGCTATGCACATGGTCCGCTGAGGCCCTGGCCCTGACCCTGTGTACTCAACACTGTCCAAGCCTCAGGGCCCGCAGTACACATGGTCTTCCGAGGCCCTGACCCTGTGTACCCACCACTGCCCACAGCCCCAGGGCCTGCAGTGCACATGGTCTGCCAACCCTCTAGCCATGACCCCTGTGTATCTACTGCTGTCCACAGTCCCAGGGCCTGCAATGCACATGGTCTGCCGAGCCCCCAGCTATGACAGCTACTCATCCTTGTCCACGACATAAGGGCCACCTAGGCAGCACTCCCATGGGCCACATTCTCCCACTGGCCTGGGGTTCCCGAGGCAACTCCTCAGAAGTATCTCCGAGATGTCCAGGCCTCTCCCCGGTCTGTCTAGTATGAACACTCTGCTGAGAACTGTCCATCAATCACAAATTCCCCTGCTGGTCCTAGAAATCCTGGCGGCAGAGCATCCAGCAGGTCAATGCAGGGGACACAGACCACTGAGAGGCACGTGCTACATTGTGGACAGTGAAGAAAGACTCGGGGCTCTGGCTATCAAGGGGTGGGGACTCCTCACATTTGAAATGAGAAGTTATTAGAGGTGGTGTCTCAAATGACTTGAAGACACATGGGCTAAAACCTCCAAGGCACAGCCACGTTTCTAACACTGCGTGAGGAGAGCTGGGTCGCGATCCCCCAGCAGGTGGGTTTATTAATAGCATCTGTCGCCGTGGTCATCACAACCACCTCAGAACCCAGCGTGGCTCTTGCCCACTGGGCCCTCCTCTCTCCTGTTTCCTTTCCAGTATTTCTGACGTCACTCGTTAACTGACATGTAAAAAGAGGCATCTGTCTTGGATGTCCTCCTGCCCTTGGGCGTCCTCCTGCGGACACCGTGGGCCACTGCAGAGGGGCTGGATTTGAAAGGGTCGACAGTCAGGAGCAGACAGGGGACCTGTGGCCTGGGAGAAACGCACACAGGTGTGGCTGCCATGGACACGTCACCATGCGGCTGGGGCAGTGACCAAGGAGTCCTGGTGGCGCAGAAGGCTGAGTGCTGGGCTGTCTGAAGTCACCAGCTGCCCTGTGGGAGGAAGACATGGAGGTCGCTCCCCTGAGAGATTACAGCCTCAGAAGTGCTCTTGAGGGCGGGGTCTACTCCGCCCTGAGGAGTCACTGTGGAAGGAACCGTAGGAAGAACTCGATGGCAGAGGGTCTGGGGACGATGAGCACAGGGTCAGTCAGTCAGCGGGGCTGGAGAGCAGGGTTTAAAGGTGAACTGGGAGGAGCTGCCAGGCTGACGTGGAGGAGACCCCGTTCTGAACCGAGGAGTTTCAGAGATGGCCCAGATCAGGCCTGTCCACAGGAGGACGGAGGTCCCCGCTCCCCGGGCCGGCCTGAGTTATCCACAAGCCAACATACGCAAGGGTGGGGTGCTGGTACTGCTCCCCGCCAGGGCTTCGTGGAGGAGGTGGGCAGAGGGGCCGGGAAGGAGGTGGGCGTTACCTGGGCTTCCTGGCAGGCCGCCCTCCGGAGCAGGTTGTCGCTGGAGAACAAACGAGAGACAAGGCATTAGATTTCATCAGCGGTCAGGCCTGGAAAAGCACATTTGGATTTTCATGTCAATACACTCCTCTTCTCTACAAAGCACCAAGTGCAAGTGAAATCTGACAAATATTTCCACAGAACACAATTCTGTGTTGAAGCTCTCCATACTGAAGCCAGCAGAACAGGGTGCAAACATGTCCCCGCCCTGAACCCCAGAACCTGTAAGCATCAGTTCCCTCATCACCGAGTGTGAGTGTGCTAACGCCCTGCGGTGGGCGAGCAGCCTGGGTCACGAGCCCAACCCGATCCTTCCTCGCTGAGGTCAGAGGGGTCAGGTCTGCAGGAGGAGGGGCAGAGGTGCGAGGTGTAGGGTAGTGGGAGGCAGACCCCTGGAGCTTCCAGAAGGAACATGCCCCGCCATCTCAGTGACTTCAGCCCCGTGAGGCCCATTCCGGGCATCTGCCCTCCTGACCTGGAGGACAACAGATCTGTGCGGCTTATGTCACAGTAGCAAGCGCACACACACTCTCTCTCTCTCACTCTGTCTTTTTCCTTATTCTGGTTTCCTCAAAACCATATAGATCACACATGCAAGCATATCACAAACAAGAACTTTTAGCTTGAGGCAAAATTTTGACTTGTGAAATCAAAGTACCATAGTTCGTTTTCTCGCACTTTGTTTGCACTTGGCAGATACTGGGGGCCTGTTTTCTTTTTTACAAACTGGAGGTCTGCAGCAACCCTGCGCGGAACAAGTCTATCACCTTCTTCTCCCGGCAGCACACGCGCCATTTGCCTATGTCACGCTATTGTATACTTTTCTCCTTGCCATTTCTTGCAAACTTCAGAGCGCCAAGCCCTGTCCCCTCGCTGATTCTGACTCACGGCAGCCCTGCGACAGAACACCACTGTCCTGACAGCTTCCAAGGCTGTTAACGTCCCAGAAGCAGCCGGCCTCCTCCTTCTCCTCCAGTGCAGGGCCTGCTGGATGTGGACCATGACCTTAGGACGGCAGCCCACAACCACGGCTCCGTTCAGAAACGACCACCATGGAAACATGAATTTTACATCTTCATCACCTCTGGGCCACATGCAGAGAGCCGACTGGCCACGTGAGAGGCCACGCGTGCGGCCAGCACCACTAACATATAAAAAGCTGACAGCAGGCCCAGCACGGAAGAGAAAAGGTGGCTACAGCTACTCGGAGGAACCGTGCAAAGGAAGGAAAGGGCTGACCGCTTAGATCTCTGAACTTTGGAGATTTTCCACTCCAGCAAATCTAATTTTGGTACCAGGTGAAACTGAAATGAAGGTACATGAACCACCTATTCCCCGGCAAAGGTGCATGGAAACCCCTGGTTATGCGCACAGAGACACCTGATTGGTGGTGGTGCTCCTGTATCAATCAGGGGCAGAGCGGACTGAGTCATTCGTTCATCCTAGCTTGGTGCCTGCGTTGTGGACAAAGCTCTTTCATGCCTGTTGTTGTTAAGAGCCATCGAGCTGTAGACGACTCACAGCGATCCTATAAACAAAAGACCTGAACACTTGTATAACTTTCATCCTCTCTCCAAGTTCATAGGGTTTCAGGAGACAAGATATTTCGGAAGTGGATGCCACTCCTGCTTCTAAGCTTGTTTTAATCTGGGAGCTCCACCAAACACTGTCCACCATGGGTAACCATTATCGCATTTGGCACAACCATGAGATTACCTCATAAAAATTTGGGGGGTTGTGGAAAGGTGCTCAGAGGGTGCCAGTGAACCTCGCTGCACAAGGAGCTACAGCCACCCCAACATCCAACATGGTAGGGCAGGGTGGACCGTGCCAGGTCAGGGTGGGGCAGGACAGGGCAGGGCCAGGGCTAGGCAGAGAGGCAGGGATGGGGTAGGGAGGGGGTGCTTCAGTAATAAGTGCCACCCACAGGGCAGTGGTCCATCAATATGGTGAGGAAGCCAGGCCTACAGCCCAGGGGGTCGGAGTAGAAGATGAATGGACTCCTGGGCAGTGCTGCTCCAGGCAGCCGTCATGGCCAGCTGCCCCCACTGCCTGAGCTCATCACTCACCACACTATCTGCCCTCGCTTCTCTCCACCTGTCCATCTGCCCTCACCCAGACTCCGTCCCACCCAACAACTCACCAGCCCCTGGATTCCGCTCCACCCGCCCATTCATCCTTGCCCAGACTCCCCACCACCATCTACTTACCCCCAGTGGGACTCCACACCCACCCCTCCACTCACCCCGCCCCGGCTCCCTACTGACCCTCCTCCATCCACGCCTCTGCCCCTGCCCCCACCAACACCTACATTCTTCTTCCTACCATTACTCCTTGTGAGACAGTCCAACATCAACAAAACACAGACTAAAAACGAGGCAAACTCAGGGCATAATCTATTGGCTACGAACAGCTGCCGTAAATACTCCCTTATCTATAAAGTTATACAGGTGTCCAGGTCTTACATTCATAGGGTTGCTATGAGTCGCCTACAACTCGACAGTACTTAACAACAACAGCAACAGCATAGAGAAAGATCAGTTGGCCTAGCGGAGAGAAAGTGAGGGTACCAGGCCAAAGGTGGGTGACTCTAATCTGCAGCCCTCAGGCCTACCTTTAATTGTTTTTGGTGAAACATTCTACTAGGTCGTATCGCCCTGGTGTGTCCACTTGCTGTACAGAGGTAACTCGTGGTCACTGTGAAGCGGAACACTATGACACTGGTGAGTCAAATGCGATAATGGTGACCTATGGTGGACCGTGTTTGGTGGCGCTCCCCAATTAAAACAAGTTTGGAAGTGGCATCCACTTCTGAAACAGCTTGTCTCCTGAAACTCTATGAACTTGGAGAAATGATGAAAGTTATACAAGCATTCAGGTCTTTCGTTCACAGGATCACTGTAAGTCGTCTACAACTCGACAACACTTAACAACAACATCTATCTTTCCCTGTACTTAATCGGCATTCATCCATTTTTCCACTAAGTCAATCCCTGAGCTGGGGAGCTCCACCCTCATCTGGCCCTCAGGGCTCCATGCCTCCTCCCCAGGCACCCTCCTCTCTGGAGACCCATCGTCTCACAGACTTGTCTCTCCATGGACCCTCCTCCCCACTGACGCATCAGCCCCTCATGCTGTGACTTTGCAATTCTCCACACTCGGGAAAAGTTGCACCCCCCTCACCCAGCCATCCATGCCCCTCACTGTCCTTCCTGGACTCTACCCACAATGAAGGCCATCCATAGTCAGCATCAGCCCACTCCACATCCACATCCTGATGCCTGGGGGCGCAGGCTGAGATGGGACCGCCCCAGCACCCACAGTGGTGCAAGGGGGCACCCTGGACCAGCTTCCTTACTTTCTTTTTGGCTGCAAAGAAAATGTGGATGGTTCACTTGTGATTAAATATATTATTCAAGACCTCAGCTCTCTTGAGCTTGCTAATACTACTTGATTTATCAGAGTGCTATTCAAAATCAAAAGACTTCATGATGGTAATGCTCTGAGTTCTAACGTGCAAATGGAGAGGGGGCGGAGCCCGAGGGGAGGCTGCACCAATTCCGAGGCCACAAAAGCAGCCTCATCAGCATCCGACTTACTCGGTTAATATTTCAAAAATGGTCTAAATCACCTTCATCTCACTCTGAACCAGGCTGCCTCTGAAAATCAAACACATCCTCAAAGAAAAAGATTGCTCCCAGTAAGATTTTCTGATATTCTTTGGAAAGTTCAGAAAAAAAGGAGATTCCAAAACGTTTTCAGTAATAGCTGCACTGCTGGAATAAAACAGAAAATCAGGTAAAATTCAGGCCACATTCTCCATGGTGTCTGCCACGCCCCAGCAGGCACTTGCTGTTCCATTCTACAGATGAGGAGGTTGAGGCCCTGAGAAGGTGGGCCAGCCTGCCCCTCAGCAAATACTGTCATGTGGGACTTCCTAACTAAGCTGACTGAGCCTCCCTGGACAGAACACTGGACAGAACACTGGACAGAACACTGGCTGATCATGTCACTCCAGGGCTCACTGAACACACTCCGAGGCACTGGACAATGACAGAGGACGAACTGATGCTGCTGGGTTGTAGGGCTGGAGAAGAGCACTCACGATCCCATGGACTGCCAAAAAACAAACAGCTCCATCTTGGAAAAAAAAGTGCAGCCAGGGTGCTCCCTGGAAAAAGGCTGGTGAAGTTTTGTCTCACATACTTCAGGCATGTTGCTAGAAGGCGCTATTTCCTGGCGAGGACATTATGTGTAGAAATGTGGAGGGCTGGCAAAAGAGAGGAAGATCCTCAATGAGATGGACCATAACAACGGGCTCGAAAAGAACCTCAGAAACAACAACAAAAACCTCAAACACCAAAGGGTTCAAGTGTCTCGGACTGTGAGGATGGCACAGGAGAGAACAGGCTTCAGATCTACTGTTCGCAGCGTCACTGTCAATCATACTTGACTTGATGGTACCTAACAACAACACCCGGGTTAAGTTCTAGTAACAGGTGGGAGAACAGGCCAAAAGCAGCAGGTGAGACACCCCAAGGCCTGTGAGAGTCAAGGGAGCACAGGGATGCGCGTAGACCCATCCCGGGTGAGTGTGGATCTGTCCTGGGTGAGTTAAGACCCGTCCCAGGTGAGGCAGACCCATCCCAGGTGAGTAAAATCCATCCTGGGTGAGCATGGACCCATCCTGGGTGAGTTAGACCTGTCCTGGGTGAGCACAGACCCGTTCCGGGTGAGCGTGGACCAGTTCTGGTTGAGCACAGACCTGTCCCAGGTAAATTAGACCTGTCCCAGGTGAGTTAGACCCATCCCGGGTGAGTTACAGCGGTCCCGGGTGAGCAGAGACCCGTCCCAGGTGAGTATAGACCCGTCCCGGGTGAGCATGGGGACGAGGAAGCTTCTGGTTTCCGACCACCCGACAGAGGGTCACTGGGAGTCAGGCTGCCTGGAGGTCAGAGGGTCTGGTCCGGGTTAGCCCTACCTCAATGAAGCATGAGATGG